TTTCTAAGGATAGTTCAGGCTTGATTTGTTCTACCATCCATTTATTTGTCTTTTTAGCAGTTCATAGTATCCTACTACATTCTATCTACACCAATGGGTATAACAGCTCTTGTGGGAAGGTTGATCTGAAGCTCAGGCCATCTTCACTATAATACGTCTAGTGGACACCATTTTATGACACAGCCTGGGTTTTTTATCTACATTTTTGTTATGTGTCTTTTTATATTAATAAAAATTATAATAAATTTATGTACACCCCGCCTTTAGCTGTAGCCATCAAGGCGGCTTACATCTAAAATCAATACATAAAACAATTCCTACAATAGGTTACAAAACAATAAACTAACACTATTAAGTTTTTTGCTAGACACTGAAGTTTTTTAATTAAAGAAATATCGCATTATGGTATAACCCTATAGTCTTAGTACTATAACATTATTTAGCAAAAGAAAACACCCAAAATGGCATCAATTGGCATCAGTCTTTTAAAATGATATTGCATTATACTGCATTTATTTCCACATTATAGCACAGATTGAAATACAAATTGAACTTAATGTTAAAATCAAGCAGCCCTGAAGTACATTAGCCCAAAGGTTGTGTGCACTGGATTCTATATGAACTGAAGGGCAGATCTGTTCAGGTTAAAAGGCTCACAGAAAAATCCCAGGGTCTCTCTTGCAACAGCAGACAGGCTGATAGGATTGTGAAAGCATGAACCCTCTAAAGCTTGAATAGGCACATGGGAGGCATTAAGAACAAAGTGGCAGAGGGCATAAAAATGGGGACAGTGTGTATTTTTATTGACTTTGAGCCACATCTGCATAGAGTAATCAATGGCATCTCATCAATAGCATCTCATGTGGGTGGAGTGTACCTTCAAATAATACGAGAAAAAGTCACTCTAAATAGAAGGCATTGTTGTTTCTTGGCCTGTTTCCATACAGACTCTAGCACATGATCTGAGTAAATATCTCACATGAACAAAGAAAGAAGAATTACTCTCTAACCTCTAAAAGCCCACTTTTATTACACAGAATAAAGGCCTGAGAATTTTGAGAGAGCCTTGAATAGTTGCACCTGCACATGGAGCATCATTTACAAAAGTTGTCAGTGAAGAAGGCCAAGCTCACAGCTACTCTGTTTTTCATCCTTATGACAAACGATCCCATGAGCATGTATATTGTCTATTGACCCAAAAGGATCTAAAAGTTATGAGCAACACTGCAATTTCCCAAACTACCCTAAAGTCATTGTAATATGCAGGGCTAGGTTATTAATGGTTCAGTTGGAACAGTTGCTTTCTATAGGCTAGGCAGGGGACCCAATGCTGAAAAGGAAAAAAAGCGTGGTTCACTTCCTTAATCTCCTGATGCTTCTGTTATTATAAAGATTTTGAGTGTTCCTTAGTCTCAATGAAGAGTTGGAAATGTGCTCACACATGGAAGATTTTTCAGCACAGCTCTCTACTGTATGATGTATTTTTATTTATGGTTTAAATCAGTTAATGTATAGGCCTACCACTCCTAGAATAGGTCCCATATATGCAGGAAGGAAATTTTTAAAAACCACTTCAGCTCCTCAACCATCTTGGCAATGTGATAGTGATTTATACTCCCCAACGGTGAGGGACAGCATGTCAACTCTTTCTGAATTGCTAAATTAATTAGGTTGCAGAAGAGGGGTGATATTCTTCCCTTCCTCTCATATTATTAAAGAGATGTCTCATTTAGAAGTTAATTTTGATTCAATTGATGTAATTTTCTGAGTACAGCTCCCAGCATCCTTCAGCCAACATAGATGCTCCAGGCCTATGGAAGTGATAGCTGAATAAAGCCACTTTCCTAAATTCTCTTCAGAAAGATTGAACATTTCCACAGCAGAGAAAAAGGAATTCAGTATTGATAAACTTACTGTAGACAGTGCCTGGAAAAGGCAATAGAAAGTCAAACACCATACAACTCTTTTAGATATGAAGGGAGGTATGTACCATAGCAAGAAATAGGACACAATGAGAAAAGGCGTACAACCCAGTAACCTGAAAAAAAGACAATATATTTCATGTCAAATATACATATTAAGCATTCTGACAGCTAAAAAAAGTAAAGCACAAAAGGGGTATATTTTATCCAGACACGAGCTTTCGTAGACTTCAGTCTACTTCCTCAGATGCATATCAAACTTCTTTTGAGTTGCTGCCAACTTCTTTATTTCAGCTAGTCTCAAAGGTGCTACAAGATCTCTCTACATACTGATTCTACAGACTATATCCTTGAATTCTACCTTTATCCAGACACGTTTCAGCGTTGTTGTTGGTGTGTGACTTCAAGTCATTTCCGACTTATGGTGACCCTATCATGGGGTTTTCTTGGCAAGATCTGTTCAAAGGAGGTGTGCCATTGCCTTCCCCTGAGGCAGAGAGAGTGTGACTTGGCCAAGATCACCCACTGGGTTTCATGGCTGAGCAGGTAATCAAACCCTGGACTCCAGGTCCTATTCCTGCACTCTAACCACTAGGCCACACTGGCTCTCAAGTCATGTTTTATTCAGGGGTAGGCAACCTTTCCCCTTTAAGGGCCGAGGGACTTCAGCTCCCAGAATCCCAGAAGCTATTGGCCAACATGGGACTATTGGCCAACATGGCTGAGGCTTCTGGGAGCTAAAGTCCCTCGGCCCTTAAAGGGGAAAGGTTGCCTACCCCTTTTATGTAGTGCTAATAAAACTATCTGTTCTTCATGCAGTAGAGTTTAGACTGTATCACAAACACACACAGCAAAACAGTTCTGACTTTCAGATACAGACACATTCTCACTGTTTCCTGTAAGTTAGCTCAAGTGTAAGAACAGCTATCTCCTACACAAAATGTTTAGATTGCAAAGAAACTAAAATAAATTCAAGATCATAGTCTTCAGAATGGCAGTCTTCTAAATGAAGTGTTCTTTAGGGGGTGGAGGAAGGCAAGGAGCTACAATAAGGGACATAACTTCAGGAGGGCAAGACTCTATATTTGGGGAGATTTCCTCTCTCCTCTCAAGCCCCAAACATTTCCACAGCAGTCAATAGCAGTTGTTGAATTCTGCTGAAGGAGGAAAGGGCAGGTAAGTTATTTGAGAAGCCCTGCAAGCAAAGCCAGGTACAGGTGTGACAAGGGTCTGATCTGCACTGCAGAAATGATGCAGTTTGACACCACTTTAACTGCTATGGCTCAATGTTATGGGATTCTGGCATTTGTATTTTGTTGCAATACCAGAATTCCATTGCACTGAGCTATGGCAGTAAAAGTGTTGTTAAACTGCATTAATTCTGCAGTGCACATTAGACTTCTCAAGTTTAATAGATCCCGTAGCATTACTGCAATAGGTTATTAATCTAACCATTTTTGAGATGGTTTGTTTTTGATTTTTTGGGTATTTTGAGGCTCCTCCTAATCTGGAGCTCTAAATTGTCGTTTATTTAGTTTGTAGATAAATCCAGCACTGCCTGCAAGATTACTGGGAAAGAAACCATACATCCCTATACATGGCCTTCCTTTCCTTCAGTAGAATGGTTCACAAGGGACTTCCTGCAAGTGTATGCATGTACGTATAAACTCCTTTTCAGTACCAAAAGTACTGTATTTAAACATATTTTCTTAGAACCTGTAGGCTGCTACAGACTTCTATCATGTTTCGTGTTTTCTTTGTTCCTCTTAACACTAATCCACTCACTCTTGCACATGGCCAATACATTTTTCTTCCTTTTACCTCATTCAAATCCCGCTCCCCAAATCAGTCTTGAAATGTAAAATTGGTAATGATGGATTCTCCTCAAGAAACCACTTTGATAAAAACAGCCACAAGAAAGGAGGAGGACAACAGTATTTTGTCTGGATTCTCCAATATATGGGTGAGCTGATGGCGTCATATTAGAGCAGGTGGAGAGGCTAGTATGGATATATCTTATATTATATTTGTTGTTGTTGTGTGCCTTCAAGATGTTTCTGACTTATGCCGGCCCTAATTCAAACATATTGAGGGCGAGACTACTTTTCAGTCCTTGTGATTCTCTCTCATTCACTCAAAGACAAGATCACCATCTCATTTTTCAACAAGAATCTATAATTATACCATAGCACATTTCATTCTGCTTTCTTCCACATTTGCTGATAAATTTTCAGTATATTTTATTATACTTGTACCCAATGTGGTTTCTTCAATGAGGCCATCGAGTTTTCCCATCTTTATTTTCACAACAATCCTGTGAAGTGGTTTAGCCTGCAGAATTGGGACCGACTCAATGAATTTCATGCTTGAGTAGAAATCTGAACTCAGGTCTCTCCAGTTCAAAGTCTGCAGCATATCTATTTCATGACCTCAAACTTACTATGGCTTTGTATATTGTAAGCCTGTGGGCAAGTGCTGTTACATCGTACTTGAATTGATCATCCACCTTTTCTATCAATGTGAGGTGTTACGCATGCTTATTTTTTTTTACAGCTTCACCCAGCCAAAGACGCTGTAAAAGCTCATTACTGCTATATTTTTAGATGAATGCAAGACAGCCTTACAAGGGGTATAAGCTGCTCTGTCACTGTCACCTGAAGATGACTGTTCTTTAGCTAGCCCCTTTGTTTTATGACTGCTGGATGCTTCCATTCATTTAGACAGCAAAAACTCCAAGGAAATATAGATCAGCTCTTCAGTCAGCAAATACAGTTCTAAATAAACCCTAAAATGACACTGAAGGCTGATAAACTGCATGGCAGTCCAATTGATGCAAAGCTGGGAGAGAGAATCGAGTATGTTCTCGCTTTGTTATTTGTGTGTGATGAGCAGAAGCAATTAATTCCCCAGAGCGTGACCTCTAGCGACAACAGAATCCTCCAGCGTTCTTGTAAAGCAGCTGCTGCACAATGTAATTAGATGACCATGGATGCTATTAACAAAAAAACTGAATGAGCAGACAATACAGATTAATCCCATCAGAACAGCACTATTTGCACAGTATTTCCTTACCCACCATCATTCATGTAGTGTGTATGTCAGCTGATTATTTGCAGTACTGAAGAGTGCTGGTTGGGGGGGGGGAGAGGACTGAATACAAGATAATATTAATTCTTCACAATAACTCTTCCAACCTCCTCTAGGGAATGAAAAGCAAGCAATGCGGAGAAGCTGGGTGTGAAGGATTGCAAGGGAAATGGCCACAATCTGGTTTCTCAACATTTAATGTCACAATTCATCAAACAAACAAGCAAAGAAACAAACAAATATAGTGACAAGATTGAAAGGAAATACAGGAATGAGGAAAGAAGACCCCAAAAAATGGACTGGAGGGGGAAACTGCATTGACAAAGCAATGGTCCATAGTTTGTGCTGAATGATTACAGTGAGATCTTGTGTGTTTTTGTGCACCTTTAATGTAAATATCTTTAGAATTCTGATTGCTCAGGAAGATTCAGGTCCTTTAGAATCAATGTATAAGTGGATGTAACAGACATGCAATATACAAGCATGTTCTATGCTGAATGATAGGTCCTGTTTATGACTAAATTGCCTATTCAGTGACAATGGCTGTTGCCAGAGCTGTGCTGCAACAGAACCAACAGTATGTGTTAAGTTCCACCTAATAATAATAATAGTATTTATTTATACCCCGCCCCTATGAGATCAATCGGGGCGGCTTACAGTAAAAAGTGCATTACAACAATAAAAACAAATTACCTCCCACCCACCACTTAAAAAGTTATTAAATCAATTACAAGTTAAAATAACCAGAGTTAAAATAACAATTGCCGGTGTGCAATAAAGCGACAGAGAACTGTGGTAATGTAATAAATAGTTTTCCGGGAGACAGATAGGGCTCCCCTAAAGAAAGGAGGGGACTGAGGCCGGGATATTCTATCCTGGGCTCTTGAAAAAATCTTGCAAAGAGGGGAGATGTGTCAGAGGCCTGCACAAAAGTCCAATCAGCGACAAAGCAGTATTCAACATGGAGGCAGCAGCAATAAAATCTCCCCCACCAAAGTTTCCTTTTGCTACGCACTCCCACATTGGTGTTGTAACCCAACACTGCATAGGCATCTTGTTGTTGTGCGCCTTCAAGTAATTTCCAACTTATTGAGACCCTAAGGTGATCCTTGTCTTGAGAAAAAAGCTGAAGCACAATTCTTTTTGCACTGTCCCTCTGTGACTACATTGTCTACGGCTACTGATCTGCATTGGCAAAAAGAAAAGCATGCTGTACAGAATTGCATTTGTCAGATCTTTGTTATCCTTGGCAAAAGGCAGCACTAAATTCCCTTTTATCATGGTGGTGCACAGTCTTATCAGCTCCCTGCAGTGCAGACTATAACTTTGGGTTGGCTTCTTTCCTTTGCCCTGAGAAACTAAGCTAGTTGCTTTCTCAAACTTAACTTTTTCAAACAGCTTGTTACCATCTGGAAGAACTGCAAAACTTTCCATTCCAGCTGTATTCCATTCCATTCCATTCCATTCCATTCCATTCCAAGAGGCAGGGTTAAAATACCTAAAATAGTTTGCTTTCTGGATCTCAAGGAACAAACATGTTACAAGATGTTACACCTTTTTCTGTGTCTTCTACGCACCCACTCCCATCTTCCACTTAACATTTGAGCCCTTACTCCAGAGAAACCATTGATAAATAAGCTGTGGCAGGTAGCAACAAGGAGTAGAACAGAGACTCATAGAGATGGAAGGTACCACTATATGACTATCCAGTCCACTCCAATCTCCTGCCATGCAAGAATACACAACTAAAGCACTCCTGAGAGATGGCCATTCAACCTGTTTAAAGACCTTCAAAGAAGAGGACTCTGCCATGCTCTGAGACAGTCTATCCACTGTTGAACAGCTGTTACAATGGAATAGACCCACTCAGGGGGGGTAGACTCTTCTCTGTAGAATGTCTTTCGTAAGTAGGCATGCATCCTGGATTCTTTATTGTTATACATTTGAAGTTAGTCTGAATGAATTTTTAGTTGCTTGTAGACAAGTGCCTCTGATTACAAAGGCTCCTTTCCAGCTCTTTGTAATTCTTGAGTCTAAGATTTCTGCCAAGTACTGCTGTCAGTGTAGGTGGCTGAAGCCTATGAAAATGGATACTTGGTGGTGTTTAATCTTCCCTATTTATGTTTTTAATGGGACTTAAGGAGCCAGTATGGTGTAGTGGTTTGAGTGTTGGACTATGACTATGGAGACCAGGGTTCAAATCCCATCTTGGTCATATAAACTGACCTTGGGCAAGTCACACTCTCTCAGCCTCAGAGGATGACAATGGCAAACCCCTTCTGAAGAAACCTGCCAAGAAAATCCCATGATAGGGGAGTACTTTCTATTTCAATAGCATTATTTGATCTCAAGGAGATCTCTCAGCAGACTAAACTACAGTTGGCCCTCTGTTTTTGCGGGGGATTCATTCCGGACCCCACCCCTGCCCCATAGGCTTTAATAGGGCGTGCTCCCATGGGTGCATACCCCATTGATTTGAACGGAGGTCGCCGTTCAAGTCCGTGAGAACAGAGGAGCAA